CCTCCTAAAGCTGTGCACACCCAGGCCCACCCCTCCTGTTTGCAGGCCCAGGGCTGCCTGCTCTTTACAGCAAAGAGCAGCCTCAGCACTTTCCCCACTCCTGCTGCTTCCCTTTTTGTTCCTCCACATCCATCACCTGGTAGGGAATGGGGGCAGGGTGGGGAGGGATTGGGGGTGGGGCGTTGGCTGTAGGGGGAGTTCCTGGGAAGGGACCTCTGCTCTGCAGCATTCTGCTTTCGGCTGCAGCCAAGGTGTCTCTTTTCTTCCTCTCTTTCTTCTTCCTCTGGTCCCATCCCCCTTTTCACTTTCGCTGATCATTAAAACATAAGCTCTTCTTGCTGGCTCTCAGCTTAGCCAGCAGCCCAGCTGTTTGGGGATTTCCCATCCTGCTCTTGCTGTGAATGGGAAACTGAGCCAGGAGGACACCTCAAAGCACAAGCAGGAAGGGAGCAGAGCAAACCCTCATTCCCTTTATTTCCCTGTGTCTCCACTAGCCTGAGAGTTTACTCTGTGCCTCCTCATTCTTTTTGCCTTAAAAATGGGGCAGAACTTTTGGGTATGTACCCCAAAGAATTAGAAACAGACTCAAACAGATACATGTACACCCATGTTCATAGCAGCATCACTCACCACAGACAAAGGTGAAAACAACCCGAATGTCCATGGATGGATGAATAAAATGTGGGATATACATACAATATATTATTGTATATGGTATATTATTTAGCTGTAAAAAGGCATGAAATTCTGACACATGCTACAACATGGATGAACCTTGAAGACTTTATGATAAGTGAAATAAACCAGTCACAAAAGGACAAATACTCTATGATTCCATTTATACGAGGTTCTCGGCATAGACAGATTCACAGAGACAGAAGGTAGAACAGTGGGTGCCAGGGGCCTCTGGAGGAGGGAGGAGGAGCTGGTGTCTAATGGGCACAGTTTCTGTTTGGGAAGATGGAGGTGGATGGCGATGATGGTTATACAACCATCGTGCATGTGCTTAATGCCACTGACTTGTACACTTGAAAATTATTACAATGCTAAGTTTTATGTTATGTATATTTTACAAAAATGGGATGTGCGTGACTCAACTTCCAGCTGCGAAGATGGACAGTGAGGACAGCACTGTCTCCCTCTCCCCCCCCCCCCC